CCCCAAAACCCCAAAACCCCAAAACCCCATAAGAAAAATTGCTAGGAAGTAATTTTAAGAAATAAATTAATAGTTCGAAAATGAATCTACTAGCTTTGAACAAATAGAGTGGTGTTATTAGTACCAGAGAAATACTATAGAGAATACAATCAAATAATCAAGGCCAAAATTATTCACCTGAAAATTGGACCAAAAAGATGAGCATTCCTACACAGCCCTCAAATTTCAAAGATTAAGACTTAGAGGGAACATTTCGATATGATGAGCATGAGTTTGTTTTAAGTACATTTGAAACAAATGCTAAATAAAACATGGGCAGGTACAGCAGTTGATTTAAGTAGGAATCAGCAAGAGTTGAAAGTATTTAATAGAAAAAAAGGCCTGACAGTAATAGAGCAAGGTTAATTCAAGCATAAAAATTAGAAAAGAAAATGTAAAACCTAGATAAAAGAACAGATCTGGTCAGTTCAAAATATAATCAATAGGTTGAGGGGGCCAAAGGTTTGTTCGAATACTATAATTCTAGAGCAAATAGTTGCAATCCAATTAATAGATCAAATAACATATCTCATTTGTAGACAAGTTTTACTAATTGCGATCAAGACTCTCATATTGCTGAGCCAGCTTTGAGTCGTGATGGTTAAAATAGTAATTCACCTAATTTAAAAAATTACTCGTCTATTAGAAATAGGAAGACTCCAGATACTAAAAATAGGAATACTGGAAGTGCAGTAAGAAACCATAGTGGCATAGGTGAAAGCATCAAGAAATTTATTGATAATGCTTTTGATCCAATAATGGGGAAACTAAATTTCTTTGAGAGAAGTAATGAAAAGAATTAAGATAAGGATTTAAGAAATCAATCAAGGAACAATATTTAAGTCAGTCCATAGATTACTAATAGACTAAATGAAATACATTAAGCTTAAGATAGTCATAATGAACCAATAGAAGATAAAAGATCATCCTCTAAAAAGAGGCAAGATTTTGAGTTTCCCTGCTCCTTATTTTTTTAGAATGATGAAAATTTTGTGGAGGAAAAACCTTTCTAACTAGGAAAGTAGAATGAATAATAAAACCTAATTACTCCGAGAAAAGAAAATTCAATGAATTCAAGGGTAAAAAATCATTTTGACTCCATTAATCGAGAAATAACTATTATTTCACCAAATATCAAAGACAGAACTATAAATAGCTAAACTTAAGCAGAGGGAAACTCCAATGAGAAAGGAAAGCCTATGATTGGGCTTTAAACCCCAAAAATAAAAAAGCCACCACTTTATTATAAGAATAACTAAAATAATAACTCTAACTCAAATGCAAATAATGGTAGTGGGGGATCAAAAAATAATAATTCTAACTAAAAATTAGAAGTAATAAGCAACAATAATAGTTCTTCTATGGTGTCCAATTCCATAACTACATCCTTACAAACTGTAGAATTAATATACAGATATGAGATATTAGGAACTGAGATTTACTTCTAAAACGGGAAGAAAAAGAAGAAGACAAAAAAGAGAAAAATTCGAATCAGAAATGGTGATATGCTCAGCAGGTAATCTGAGAGTGAACTTTTTAGTGAATACAAAGATCAAAGCATATCTGAATCATTTAGAATAGAGAGCAGCAGCATTAAATTGACGGAAACTTAAACTTTTCAAAATAGTCCAGAACTTTAAAACATTAATGTTGCGAATACTAATCATTAGCCTAGAATTGTATTTGAAATGAAAAAGGAATAAATTCCTCCCCCTACTATTGACATTGAAAGAATAAATGAATTGAGGCAATCCAGGAGAAATAATAGACAATCTCGATTCAAAAATGAGATAGATAAAGATGATGAAAAGTCAAGAAGAAATGAAAGAAATAAAGAACCTCATCAGATCAAAATAACAGAGAGTAAGCCTCAATTAGCAATTTAACCACTGATAAAATTAAGGAAGGAATAAATTGATAATATTGAATCTAATAGAAAGCCGCCTTAATAAATTTTAATATCAAAGCAAAAACCACCTAAATAAGTTAATCAAGATGACTCTACCAAGGAATAGATAGAATAGCAGCAAGATTACCAACCAAAGACCGCCACAAGAGGAATTAGAAGTTAATCTGCAGCAAATAATGAAAGACCTATTATGAGATAACTCAATGTTTAAAATAAAGAGAATTTAGCCAACAAGTAAATTTAGTAGCCAACTACTATAAAAGAATTAAAGAACAAACTTAGGCTAGATAAAGAGAGTTAACTTGAGAGTAATATTTTGAGCAGTGAGCAATAACGATAATAAAATTTATAAAATTCCCTAAATTTGCTGAAAAGAGAATTAGGAGGGGATTTTCCAATACAAAGATTGCTGTTTAAATAAGATTTTCCTGGTTTAGTGCATAATTTTAGATAAGGCATTTTTAGTCAATAAAATGTTGATGAAAAAGATAATAATGGAAATACTCCTATACTTTTAGCAGCAAAATTAGCGACAAAAAATGATGAATATCTAAAAGCTGTTAATTATCTTTTTGATAAAGGAGCTAATGGGAAATTAAGAGATAGCTATGGATGGTCCTTAATGGATGAAGCCATTAGTTAGCAAAATACCAGACTTCTTGCAATAGTATTTGATTAATTAAACAAAAGGAAAAAATAGAGATGGGAAAGAAGCAAATAATCTATATTTTAAAAACTTAAATAGATTCCAGATTTTTATATAGAGCTTCATTGGGAATGCCAATCTAATTGGATCCCCTTTATTAGCAAAATAGCTCCTAATGATACATACCAGATCTGGAAGGTAGGATCCTTCCTTAGATTAGATTTTTCGCTAGTTAAATTTTCAAAGCTTTCCTCAAAACGAAGGCGAATGACTATATTATTTAGAGATACTAGAGAGGTTGAAGATGATTACAAGAATATAGATATAATGCTTGTTAATCGTGATAGATAAATTATAGTTAATCCATTAGAGGATCTTGACATGGACGAAAAATTAGCAGTCTTGACCGATATTATAAATTCAGATCCTACCTAAAATGAACTCAATATTGAGGATCAAGAATGGAAAGAATGCAAAAACTACAGAGGTGATTCAGTAAAAGAAACAATAAATGAATATGATTGCAATAAATATAAGGTAACAGTAAGAGCTTAAATGCAATAAAGGAAAAAGATATTGAAATAACTTGATTACAATTATGATGAATACTTTAATAAAATGGCGAATGAGGAAGAGAAAAAACTGGTAACCAAGGTTTCAAAAGATGTCAAAAAAACAGTTGAGAGTTATCTATGGCTATCAAATGAATTCCCACTAAAAATTTAAAATTTCCTAACTGTTCTTAAGACTCTTTCTCTAGGAGGCAATGCTAGTATGTCTAAAATGAAAGATTTTATGAAAAATTAATCACTGAAAGAAGTAATCACCAACAATGGCTTTCCAGTAAAGATATAAATTCCAATTTAGTTAAGTATAAAAGCTAATGTAACTTTCAATAAATTTAGGTATCTAGAAAACAGCCCTCAGTTTATTAAAGAAACCTTCGCTGTACCAAGTGACTGTAAATATATTAATAGAAAGGAAGGTATGAAAACCTTAGAGAATAAGAAAAAGAGACTCGCCTTTGCAAACCTTGCTATCTGATTTTTTATAAATTTAACTAATTAACTATTGCATTTTAAATGTTTACTTTTACATCTAGACAAAATATTAAAGCCTGGGGTTTTGGGGTTTTGGGG